GTGTGTGTGTGTGTGTGTGTGTGTGTGTGTGTGTGTGTGACTTTTCTCATTTTGCAAGTAGCTTTTGGATAAAACCATCTGCTCAATGTAAATAAATCTTTCTACTGATTCAGATCTTGTAAATGAATCAATTGCATAAGTTATTCCAGCGATTCAGAAGCGTTTTACTTCTTCACAATCCTGCTCAGTGTTTCGTTTAGTCAGATACTGATAAGAAAGTTCTGTTCTTGGTTAACATGAAGGTCAAGGGGCTGAAAGTCAGAAGCTTTTAAATACATGACGTTCATGCAAAAATGAAAAGTCTGTTATTGTTTATTCACCCAGGTTGCTTCAAACAGGGTTTTTAAAGAATATCCTGTCCATTTTATGGATGTAAATGAGGACTGGGACTGTCAAGCTCCCAAAATGACCAAAAATATGCCATAAAATATCATAAAAATGGTCTGTGTGACTCAAGTCTTCTGAAGCCACACACTTATATGAGGAACAGAGAAATCTTCTTATACAGTAAGTTAACAACTTGCACATTTTTCTGGTCACATTGCTGTGTGTCTAATCAGTATTAAGCCCATAAACCTCTTTTTTCCCCTCCAGAAACACATCGCAGCTTCCGACCAAAGCCAACAGAGCTGTAACTCTCTCAGAAATGACTCCATTTATCATTCTCAGAAACACAGAGGACAAGAAACACAAAGTTCTTCCTCAGGCACAAATGCTGTTAAAATCTGCTTGAAAAGACAGAACACTGACTTACACATAACTGAACCCATTGTGCTGACGGTCCCACGCCGCGCAAGAGGTCCCAAGAGCCGCAGTGACCCGCAAACTCAATCACTCCTGGGTGTCTAATAAGACGCTACGAGAGGTGCCTGTGCCTCTGAAACGCAGGTAACACACTGACATGCTTTCTACAAATATCTCTGAGAATGCCAGAAGCACCGGTAGTTTCCTCTTCCTCTCTCTCCCAGCGAGACATTCATCACTGCGCAGCGCTCTGTGGTTAAAGTACGTCAGGAAGAAGTTCTCACAAATACACAGATTCCTTTTCCCCTCTCCACCCCAAAACAGAGCCCTGCTACACATACACACACACACACATAAACCCCTCCCCGCAACCCTCACACATGAGACGGCGTCATGTGGCACTGACTGTTAAATCTAAACCTGAGGACTCAACTTTTTTCAGTCACTTTCACAGTGGAAAACAAATGTAACATGCTAAATTGAGAAGCAAAAATGTGGGGAACCAACCCAAACTGTGATTTCATGGATGTCTGAGCGCTCACTTGTAGGTGAGCTAATGTTTCATGGATAACTTCAGACATTCCTGTGAATGGAAAGCGTTGAGTGTGTAAAATAAGGCACTCTTTTACTCGGGAACCGTCTAGATCTCTGGAAATCACAGTCAGTCTGGCACACACTCAAAAACAAGCCCATTTGTAAGCATATGAAATGTCCTTGAATTGATAAAAGAATTGTTTGAAATAATTCATTGTAAGAACTGTTTTTCAAAAAGGTACACTCAAGCAGCATGGTCACATCCAATAACTGCCTGAAAATTCTCATGATCTTTGGTGCTAGGTAAGTGAAAATTAGTAGTAGTAGTAGTATTGTTAAAATTATTATTATTTAATACATACGTATATCAAATTTAATATTATAGCATTCATAATTAATTTTATTCTATTGACTTTACATGGTTTTATGTTTTCTAATATTATTGTTGTTTATTAACAACAACAACAACAATAATAATAATAATGAAACATTTATTAATAATAATATTAATTCTAACCATTCTTCTTCTTCTTCTTCTTCTTCTTCTTCTTCTTATTATTATTATTATTATTACACATTTACCGACTTTTACCGACACATTTACAGAGTTTTATTTATTGTTATTATTATTATTGATTTTATTATTATTATTATTATTATTATTATTATTAACAATAACAATAATAAAAATAGAATATTAATATTATAAAATATTAATAATTATTATTATTAGTAGTAATAATGAGAACATAAAATATTAATAACGATATAATACAAAATTATATATTATACTATATAATTATATAATAATATTATAACATTAATATTAAATATGAAGACAATAATACAAATATTATTATCATAAAAATAAATGAATGAATGAATGAATGAATGAATAAACAGAACAAAATTGACATTATGATTGTCACGTTACGCTGCTGCGGGAAGAATGTAGGAGACACGGAGTAGCATTCACAGTCTTTAACGATGAAAACACCGGATAATCCACAATAGGAGCTGGGCAAACACATAGAAACAAGTAGACCTGACAAACACAAACTGAACAGACTAGGACTTTTAAACAGGGGCAATCAGGGGAACACAGGTGACAACAATGGAACATAATCAAACTAAACAATGACAGGAACATGACCAAATAAGGAAACACAGGAAGGACTACGGGGGCAAAACAGGTCCAAAAGTCTGACATTTCACGCCCTCCTGGAAGGTGCGTCCTCGCACCGTAACAACAACAGAGGGAGGCATAGGTGGGAGCTGGGGAGGAGGCTCAGGAGGAGGACGGACAGAGACAGGAGGGACTTGGAGCAGGAGGAGCCCAGCTGAACCCAGGCCACAGCCATAATGTCGACCCACGGTGGAGCCGACGGAGGGAGGAGCCATGGAGGAGGAATGGCCGCCGACTCCAGAGGGTCGACTAACGGCGGCGGAGCAGGTGGCGGAGGAGCCCGAGGCGGAGAGCCAATGAGCCAGGGTGGAGCCGAGAGCTCTGGCAACCAAGGCGGAGGCGGAGATTCAGAGATCCGCGGCGGAGCCGAGGCGACTGAGGACCAAGGTGGAGCTGGCGGGAGGAAGGAGCCCAATAGAGCCGGTGGGACGGAGCAACGAGGTGCAGCCGGGGAACTGAGCGACGAGGTGCAACCGGAGGAGCGGAGTCCTGAGGTGATGGCGGGTCGATGCCCGACCAAGGCGGAGCCGGAGGGACGAGGAAGCCCGGTGGATCGACGGGTGATGGTGGAGGCGAGGGAGCTAGGAGCCAAGGTGGAGCGGCTGGGTCTACGGGCCGAGGCAGAGTCCGGGCCTTGGAGGCTGGAGACGGAGGTGAGGGATTCTCCAGCCATGGCGACGCTGGAGGATGGCAGACCCATGGAGCTCGCACCGTAATAATGGTGGGCTGAGGGCGAGCAGAGGGGCTGCCAGACGACAGCGGAGGAGGAGGCAGGAGTGGGTGGGAGGGCAGGCATTTGTGAGCCTCCAGGCATTCAGGGCTAAACTCTGGATCAGGAGCCCCCTCTAGGCTGAACACAGGAACAGGATGGCGCTCTGGAGGAGCGGACACTTGAGGGCGCTTTTGAGGAGCGGGCACTGGAGGGAGCTTTCGAGGATCGGGAACTGGAGGGCGCTCTGGACTGGACCACTTTCCTCTTCGGTGTGGCACATTCACCGTGCCATACTCAGCTCACCCTCAGCTGCGGTGCAGGGGGCGGAGCTCCTCTCCGTGCTCACACCGTCCGTGGCTTTCTCCCTTGTGGCGGGCATTGTCATCGGCTCTCGCACCTGGTCTGATGCGTTCGGCTCTATCTCTAGCTCAGTCGCTCCGTGTTGCGCTGGCTAGTTGATTAGAAGTCCTCTCGAGGACCATCCTCGGACGATCCACTTAGATTGAAAAAGTGACCCAAAGTCCTGTCTATGGACCCTAGCAACCACATAGCAACATGCAACAAAAGAAAAAAACACTATATCAACCAAAAAGCAACACACTGGCAACCACCTGCAACACACCAGCATCATGATGCTGACTTTTACACAGGCAACCACCATTCACAAATCTAAAGCCTACTATGCACTAACTTCTAATCTTGAGACCATTAGTACTTACAGTATGAGACATAACAGACAGATGTAAGATGAATTGATATTGTATGTCTGTGGCTTCAGATTATGACACCAGGGTGTGTTTTCAGATAACGTCTGCCATATAAAAACAGCATGTAATCTGATTACAGGAATCTATTTTAAGAGGATTTCTGTGGTAAACCTGATATGGACGTCATATAGTGGTGAATACTGGACACTCACTAATGCCTACTTCTCTGTCTTCCTCTATCGTACAGGATTCAGCATCCATGAGAAAGACTG